ATGTTTGCCCAGGGTCCAATCAGTATTAAAGATGGCCCTGGGCCCAGCTGTGTAAAGGAGCCATGTAAACCTTAAAAGTTAGAAAAAAGAAAAGTGCTGAAAGTTTCCGCATGCCATTCTCTAAGCAATGAAAGGCTTATGATCCATGAAAATTTTAGATGGAGATGGAAAATAATAGTAGCTAGACATTTGACCTTCGTGTGCTTTTAAACCCGCGTCTTTGTGCTCGTAGACAAAAACCAGTGACCTACAATTACTGCGAGATCAATACACGCTCGTTCTCATTATTTGTTGACATAAAGCTACTTGCAAAAGCCATTGTTCTGTGTCTAATTATAGCACCACGGGCGAGTACTGTCCTTGCTGTATCTCCACATTAAAGGACTGTGCTTGTTACTGTAAATAAGATGCGGGGCCCGATTTGCCGAACCAAAAGAAGAAGAGCGGGGGGAATCCTTTAGAGCCCATTCACACTGGTGCGTTGCATTAACACGCTGTAAAATGCATGGTTTGAATGGCACTGCAATGTACTGTTACTAGGGCTGCACCGATACCAATACTAGTATCAGTATCGGTGCCGATACCGAGTATTTGGGCGAGTAGTAGTAGTTTTAAGCTATTTCATATGCTGATTAAATCTCTTACAAGGGATGCTGCTTCTTGATATTTTTAAACATTTTAGCTTCTTTAGCACTGGTCCTGATAGCCTTAGGGTGACTCTTTTTTCCTTTGCAGGGACCTATGGATCCACCTTTGTGTGTGCTAGTAAGCTGTGTGTGTCTCCACAAGCACACAGGGACAGCAGGGCAGGATACCTCCTGCTCCTCCCATCAATAAGCTTGTAGATGGACAGCTGCTGTACCCTGCTCTGTCCCTTGTGAGCGTGTACTGGACAGGAAGTTCAGTGAAGCTGTGCTGAGAGAGTTGGAGCTGTTTGGAAACTTGACGACTGTAAGTGCTTGGGCGAAAAATAAATACTTTGCTGGGCAATGTATATATTTTTTTTGATCTGGATTAAATATTGAAAAAAAAAAGGTTTTAGAGTTA